ATATAATCGGGCTAATCAGAGATATTTTTAAACACATTATATATTGTTACATCAAGTAAGGCCAAATTTTTAGGAATTCATCAGTTGACATGCCCATAGGGGAAGAAGAGAAGATACACATAAGAAGATATTTGTTATTCGTGATTTCTTACGTCTATATTTTTCTTCTATATGTGCATAAAAAACAGAGTCGACTAATGTACTTCAAACTTGTTACTTGATTTTTGTTTTTTGATGAAAAATCTCGATAACTTTCAACGTGAAAATCTAAAAAAAATTAAAGTAGTCTGATCGGATAGTAATACACATTAGGTGACTTAGGTTTTTCTCCTGATTCCGAATTTGATTTGATTTAGAGGCGATATTTCGTGTAAAAGAGGTTCAGTGTGAGATCAGTGCTCATGGTCAATACGGGATCATTGATCTCGCTGCTGTGAATGAAAACGAAGAAGAAGAGCATATAGGAAACATTGATTACATCAAGATAGCATATAATCAAATTGGCACATGGGGCGAGAAAGTGGATCTCAAAGTTGGCTGGCAGTTGCATATCCTCAGTTTTCATGATAAAGTCAGAAGATATTTTAAACCACACAACAGATTACACATGACATATGTTAGGGATGCCGTCACAATGTTTATCGCTTTAAGCGCTTTCTACATTTGATAGATTTATTCACAAAAACGAAAAACGAAAAGTAAGAAACGATAGAGAGTGGACCAGAGATTTTGTTCCTAAAATAGAAGAAGAGAGCGAAATAGAACGATATGACGTTGATATATGAGATATACGATAGATATCAGAGGTGGGATCGGTTCGGTTTGAGAAAGTTTCAGTTCGATTCGGTTGCCGAAAAACACGAACCAATCCCATCTCTGTTGGTTATATGTTTTTCAAAATGAATATATTTTTATTGTTTGGTAGTGGAAATCTCGAGGTTTAAGCCTTACTTGCACCCGTGTAGGACATTTTCGGCGTGGCTCACAGATAGACCATGGCCTTCAAACTCTTAAGCGTCCACTTTCAGAAAAAATGGTATGATTCTTCTCTTTTCTGCGTGGTGGCACTGTATTTACAAGCCTTTTATTTTTCTGTGCTTTACTTTGTTACGAGATGTTTTCTCGGGCATAAAATAAACTTTCAAGTTCAAGTTGGTCAGAAGTTGTAGCAAAGTCAGAGGCTAAACTAATAGTCTTCGATTTCCTCACTGAAACTTCAGATCATAAATTTTTCGGACTAGTGCTTCCGAATCATGAAACTTTTTTCCTGATTTTCGAAGCTTCATTTCTATTGTGTAACGAAAAACTGTTTAATTTCAATTTTTATCAAACTTGAAAACAAACTGTTTCTTAATTAAGTATTCAGCAAAGTTTATCTAGTCGATAAACAAAAAATGAAGATATTTCAAAACGTTTTCTAATCAGGACCAGTTCGGACCAATAGCTTTGGGATCGGGATCAGAGCGTACCATTAGAGTTTTTAAAAAAACTAGGATCAAGTCGGACCAAATGGATTACAGTCCGGTCTGACTTGGTCCTGGATCGGACCATACGAGTCCCTAACGATACACACAGTGAGATCAAGAGACGACGTGCACTGTTTCTTATTTCAGGGAAGAATGGTGTCTCCATTTCGTATACACTGATTTAGTAGAAAAAATGAATTTTGTCAGCAATATTTTCACTCTTTAAAATCCTTTTTAAAATTAAGAATTACACTCTCTTAATCAGCTCTAAATGCTCTGTCCAATGATGTATGATAAGTTCAGAAACAATTTTGCTGCAACTTCGCATTATGCGCACCTCAACTATAACTGCGGAAAATAGCTGTTTTTGACGTACTGCTTTCCTACAAAATAGGAGTGCAAATTATAGAGTCATTAAGCGGCGTGCAGTTCTTATCATTCGATAACCTAAAGCAACTAAAAGAGGGAAAACTGCACGATATAAAGTTCAAAAATAGCTCGAACAGACGGTAAACATCTTCCTGAGGCATACGTTAACATCACATCGGGCTACCTCAGATATAGGTGGAAACATAGGTTATTAGCCATGCTGGATCTCATGGCAATGTTTATTTTTAGAAGAAGGTTCAAAAACCCAATGAAATCCTATTGTAGATGAAGCAACCCATCTATGTCAAGTCATTTTCAGGTAAAATCAAAAAATTCATAATTCTCTCAAAATCGCTTCGAACTACTTCAGAATATCACAACATGTACTCTATTTTATCTGCTTAAACTGATTCTCTACTCAAGGTACTTCAGAAGATTTCTATAGAACTTTCTCGAAAATCGATATGTTTTCTGTTAATTTTTTAAAATTTATCTGAAGCTGCATGATATAGTGAAAATAAAATAGACTAAGGCGGGCGTAATTCAAAGGTCGAGCACTATCTCACTTTCTTGATATTTTTATGTAGTCTGATAGAAAAGTGTCCTGAGTTCAATGGTATCTTTGAAGTCCTGAAAATCCCTTTCCTTCTCCCTCAAAAACGCAAAATGCCGAGACAGGTCGAAAAACGCGAAAAACGGAAACTTCGAGAAAAACCTTCGCCGTTTTTCTACGTCACGTTTTTCGATCCCGAAACATTTATTTTCGGATTCGGCACCCTCGATTACCTATGGAAAGATGTTTTTGAAGTTCCTTTTGCACGACAGGACAAGGTTGGAAAATCCCTTAGAAACGGTCGAACAAAGTCGTCCCGCGCCGGAAAGCTTATAGACTCAGCCGCCTGAACAGATAGAACCTTGATTTTGATGCCATTCGATCTGCCTTGCTGCGGAGTACAAATTTACGCATCTTTTCCCCAGGAATTTTCTTTCGCTCCTGAGATCTTGCGCTTTTCCAGAAGGAGGGAGGTTCCCTAACGCAATCGGGCAGGTCGTTTGCGACTAACTTTTACAGCTTTAGTCGTAGAACCTTGAAACTCACAGAGTATAGGTGAAAGACCATGCCGAATCTAGTGGCGACATTATCAGGACCTTTAGAGGATCTTCAGGAAATCTCTCGAAAACCTAAAGCCCAAATTGCAGCGAGACGGTAGAACCAGAGGTAGAGAAATTAAATTTGATGGTTTTCATGCGAAAGGCCGACTTTATGTCGAAAAAAAAAGCAGATACAGGTGCAAAGCACATAGAACTACATCTTCTGAGTACATCCATTTGTAGGAGATTTTTGCTCAATATAGTCCATCTGATTTTTGACATTCTCGAATTTCAGGTTGTTTCTCGGCTATTGTCTTAAGTCCTTGTAATTTCGAAAATTTATTTGTCGAAAATCATTTTTGCAGTGGTACATTTTAAAATTTCAAGAAATTGGAAAAGAATAAGTTCATATAATGATAGAAGTGAAATTTCTACGATATCAAATATTTTGCCGAGCAACATGAATATGCTACACAGAATCAGTGAACTGCAGTCTTCTTCTAATAATTCACAAATAAAAATAAAATAACAAAATAAGACTTTTCTTTTCTCTTTTTCAAATACAGATCCCACAAAAAGACAAAGTTTCTGTATCTCACAGCGACTGAACTGTGACAAATAAAAAGTCACACAAATTACAAAAATAAAAGAACAGACAGATTACAGATTATAAAAATACAGTGTATTAGTTTATTATTATCCCCGATGTATGCTATTAAAAATTTGACTTCAAGTACAATTGAAAATTACTGTCGAAATTTCGTCGGATTTTCGGTAATTATCGGAATTGTTGGCGGCTTTGCTCTGTATATTCGACAATACTGCGAAATTCCGATGGCGAAATTCTACGATATCAAGAGGCGGGCGAAAAAAACAGGCCGACATCTGCGATCATAGGACCTCCAACGTGTGCTACCATTTTTTTTTATAGAAATAGCCAATAAAGATACTATTAAACAGATTTATCAGAAGACTATTTTTACGCTGTGTAATTTTAGTATTTTTGATTAATTAATACTTCAAAATTACTACCGAGATACATTAGTTCTATTCTAAACTAATGTTTCAAAATTTGAAAGGACTAATCCATGTTGGACCTATGTCGTATTGTTAACCGTCTCGAATCGTTTGATAATTTCAATGAATGTGTTGATTATTTCAATAGCATTCAAGATGAAAAAGTGTTTCTAATCGTCTCTGGTTATTTGGGTGAATTCCTCGTATTCACCAAATGCCACAAATCTATAGCATGAAAAATGATCAAGTACAATTAATAAAATTCACGGCGTCTTCATCGATATTCAATTGATGCGTGATCAACTGAAAAATTATACAGCTCGTTCTTCAAATGATTTATTACCAATGAATGTAATGAGTTCTGCTGATCTAAAATCAAATCGTCTCTCTTTTGACTAAATACTAATAGAAAATCACCAAACAGTTGAACAGAGAACAGCAAAACCTGCTAACTTTTGTTGTTTTTTACAAAATGGTTTCTTTTGCGAAGACAATACAGACGAATTAGCAGATCGCAATATTTCTCACTTTTGGAGATATTCATTTTCACAAATGATTTCCTCAGCAATTAACCAAATAAATAACCTTGTAAATAATTTAATATAAGCATAAGCCGATCGAATGTAACTGGTGATTCCCTGCTGGTAATTGATTTTGTAAATATGTAATTTAGATATAAACTATCAAATGGCAACCAATCTACAAAAAGTTTCTCAGTTCATTTAGATCTGACGCATTGAACTGATGTTGAATTATTTCTCAAGAGGAAAGAGCAACAAATCAAGCCGATTTAATCCAAGGACTAGACTCGTTTTCATGTATTCAACTGACTTGATTCGGCAAATAATACTTTCTAGTCTTATCGTGAGTCCTTCACTTAAGTCAAGATACTTTACTTCAGCGCACGTGCTTAACTTAACGACTGTCCCAGGTGAAAATGCACTAAATCTTGGTGCATTTTCCCCTCATTTCCTAAAAAATATTCCATTATATACCAAACGAAGGATAATTTAATTCTCTACTAGATTGTATATTTATTTTTAAGATCCATCTTTCATGTCTGGCATAGTAACTCTAACAACAAAAGCTCCGAATTTTTTAAATGCACTCTCAAATGGTCGATTTTTTACGCAAAATTTCACTAAGAATCACTTATTAAGCAAAACAAGGTATACCGAAAAATTCAGCAAGAAGTTTTCTACAATATGATAGGTTTTTTAATGAGAAATAATGATCTTTTAGATGAAATTGGAGCGAAAATGAGTCTTTGATAAAGATCGTTTTCTACTATTTTTTGGCCGTCTTAGCGATATCTAGTATTTCCTAGGTTTTCAGGTAAAAAAGTAGCAGGTTTATTTGTAAGTTATTGTCAAATAGAACGCAAAATGCTGCATATTTTGATCTATAAACTAATAAGTTGAACTTTGTATTTTATACTGGAATAGTCAAAACATTTTTTTAGCACTAGAAACTTCGGACTCGGAAGTTTATGTATTAGAGCCACTAGCAAATGAAATACATTAATTTCAAGTAAACTCTTTTGTAAAGCATGAAATTCTTCACCACTTGACGATATAGAAAATTGTTTCAAATGTTTTTATACTTGTTATAAACAATTAAAAACGAGACCAGTTTTTAGTTGAAAAATACGTGGTGCAGTTAAAAGACCTGGAGCTTTTGTTGTCAGAGTTACTATGCCAGACATCAAAGATGAATCTTAAAAATAAATATATAATCTTGTAGAGAATTAAATTATCTCGCGTGTGGTATATAACGGAATATTTTATATAAATAGGAAATGAGGGAAAAATGCACCAAGGTTTAGTGCAATTCCACTCGAGACACTCGTTAAAAGTATTTTACAAAAAATTTTTAGTAGCCGTTTCTCTTAAGAGGGGTCCCCCCCTCCTCATTTAGATTTTCCATAAACGTTCGCAGTTTGTAGAGGATACTTCGAAGCACATGTCTTGCAGTTCATTTCATAGATTCTAATACCCTGTAAAATATTATATATTATATAGAATTTTAAGAAGTTAGTAGTAACAAATTCTATGCATCAAATAACAGTGTATATACACAGCACTTGTATGTAATAATAAGTGTGATTTCCGTTGCAGAAAGAAAAACAAATCATTCTAAGCGATTTTACTGTAATTATTACAAACAGGAAATGAAGGAAACACAATATCTATTTTAGGAAAAAGAAATTTCTGCGCTTTCACGCATTCAATTACTATTTATTTACTTTCATCCAAAAGCAATAAAGAATACGTTTTACTTCTATTCTTTCGATTCGTGGCCAAAATGTGTATAACACATTATTTAGCAATATTTATTATTACTTTTCTCTGTCATCACTGCTGTTATGGACAGTCGTACAGCAGAGCTTTGTTTAGCCTAACTGATTACGGTACGCAATTTCAACCACTTAATGCAATTGATGTATTGGGCAATATAATAGCAAAATCGTTCATCTATTGCAGTGAACTATGTGCTAAAAATGAGGAGTGTAGCGTATTTGACTATGATAGTAGTTCCAAACAATGTCGTCTCTATGATGGCATTGGAACTATAACAAATTCGACATCCTTAACAATGAAATGCGGTAGACTGATACAAACTACAAGTGACTTCGTACCATATGGTCAGTCATGTTCACAATGTCAAAATAGTCGCTATTTACAGTGTAAAAATGGTACTACATGTCAATGTTGGAACAATAAATATTGGTCTACTAACAATAGTATGTGCCAAAACCAAGGTTCTAATGGGTCTTACTGTACAGCATCGATACAATGTAGAGATGATTTGAATTTGTCATGTTCAACAACTGAGAATATGTGTTTAGTGGTAGTAGCAGCAAGTACAATTACCACGATATCTGCACCGACTACGACATTGACAACACTAACAACGACGCATACAGTTATGACGATGACTGCGACAGTAACAGCAAGCGCAACTACCACGATGCTAGCACTGACTACAACACTGACAGTACCAACAACCACGCATACAGTTATGACGATGACTGTAACAGTATCAGCAAGCGCAAATACCACGATGCTAGCACTGACTACAACACTGACAGTACCAACAACGGCGCATACAGTTATGGCGACGACTGCAACAGTATCAGCAAGCGCAATTACCACGATGCTAGCGCCGACTACAACACTGACAGTACCAACAACCAAGCATACAATTACGACGATGACTGCAACAGTATCAGCAAGCGCAATTACCACGATGCTAGCGCCGACTACAACACTGACAGTACCAACAACGGCGCATACAATTACGACGACGACCGCAACAGTATGTTATATAGATAGAACGGTTTCTTACTTATTCTTTTTTCTCAAAAAACCATTCAAGATTTTATTTGTTTTCCTTTCTAGACTGCATCATTGCCAATGTTTATCAATGTTTCAACTGCTATCGGTAATTGTAATAGTCCGCAATACAGTTGCACTGAATACCTTTATCTTGTAAATACACTTGCACTTACTTCATTCAATTTGACTATGTCCATATCAAATACTCCTTCAATTATAACCCCTCAATATAGTGTTTCAAATTCATTGTACGGTGGCACATATAATCAGACATGCACTACCAATGTCAATGCGTCTGTTGTTACGTATTGCATAATACTTTTAAATGGTCAAACGATAGCACCAGCTGCCGGTGCAAACGCTCAAAACTACTATTTAGTCACAATCGCTCTCAATTTTAATTATAATTCTGCAGCTCACAACACATCAATAGATAATTATACGATGATAGCTACAGCTTCAAATTCAATGACACAAACCTTAAATGGACATTTTTAATTTATTATCTATTCTATAAGTGAATTCCGACTCTATTGCGCATTAACTATTTAGCAGTGTTTTAGGTCTAACTCTCTTCATGAGGCCGATTTTCACCAAATATTTCTTTTGCATGTTATATCTCGTCCTGTGTATATCTACTTCTGAAAATTTAGTTTAAACTTTATTGAGAATAAGGAAAATACAAACATAGTGCTTCTGGTAGATTAGAATCGACAAAAGACATTGCACCTAATCTCTCAGGATGAGCTACTGTAAAAAAGAAAAAAAACGAAAATGTGCTGCATCACCTACAGACATTAAAAGAAAGTTAATAGGTAAGTTAACATACTAAATAAACGTAAAGGGGCATGTAGCACTGGAGAGCGAGAGTTGAAAAAAGCAAACGCATACTTATAAGTAATTAATTATATCTCAAATCTACCACTATTTTCAATATATTGAAGTACAGCACAATATATAATACAATAGTTATCGTATGAAAATTCATTACTTAAAAGTAAAATATTTTTCAGAGAGAAATCCACGCTAGGTATCAGATCGCCAATAGTCCTGAATAAATTAGCACGCTGATGGTAGTAGAGGGAACAATTTAGTAAAAAAGTGCTTTAGAGTTTCGATTTGACCACAAGCACAACTTTTGTGCGATGCTAGTTGTTTTGCATATAAATCATTATTCAATTGAAAAAAGTCACATCTGAGTTGGAAGTATATTTTGTCGTAAAGTCGATTGACTCCATATACCCGAAAACCTTTCAGTGTACCTAATTTAATCTTAAGCTTTTCTTTAAACGTCCTTAAACTCACGAGGGAACCTTTCGAGGTGATTAAACGCTTTTTGCTCGGAATCTAGTGGGTTATAGGTTATCGGCCATGCTAATTCCAAATATGGCCATGGAAGTTGCCCTTAGTCCTTCGTAGATCCGGTTTTCTAGAAAACCAATTTTTCAGAAATATAACTAGAACTTTTCTTAATGAGACATGGTTGTAGCCCACACATCCCTGATTAAAATGAGACATCTCCCAGCTTTACACGACCTTTCTTTGCAAAGTTATAGAATTTACAAGAAAGGTCCTAAATTACTTTCGTCTTATTTCTGCTGCTTTGAGCTGACAATGAACACTTAAGGCTTTACTTATAAATTCTATAACTTTGCAAAGAAAGATCGTGTAAAGCTGGTAGATGTCTCATTTTAATCAGAAATTTGCGGACTACAATCATGTCTCATTAAGAAAGGTTCTGGTTATATTTTAGATTTTCTTAAAAACTAGTTTTCTAGAAAACCGGATCTTCAGAAGGCTAAGGGCAGCTCCCATGGTCATATTCGGACTTAGTATGATCGATAACCTATAACCCACTAGATTCCGAGCAAAAAGCGTTTAATCACCTCGAAAGGTTCCCGCGTCAGACATGTACAAAGTTCTTCTTCTAACTCATTCCAACTTTTAATCGCTAATGGGAAAAAAGTCTGTTCAAATCCTTTAGTATAAAAACGTTTAGTACTCTGCCAATTAGCTTCCGGTATGTTGCTTGGTTGAGACCTAGTTGTATAATGGATATGATCATTTCTTAAACAGATTTTACTAGTTAGAAAGTTTGGTGCTAATCCTCTAACTATCTTAATGATAAGAACAATCTTATGATATTTGAATGTATCTAAAATGTCCTGCCATCCTAAACATCGAAAAACTTTTTGCCTATTAGTAACGTGCAGGCAACCGCTCACAACTAATGCAAATTTGTATTGTACTGTAGAAATTAACGCTAAGTTTTTCGTACTAGTAGCTGAATAAACAATCGAACTATATAAAAGAACAGGATAAGCATAACATTTATAAATTTGATCTAAAACTGTAGTCTGAAGCTTATTTTTGTGTTGACACATTAAATAAAGTATTTTATTACATTTACTAATTACATAATCTATATGATATTTCCAGTTGAGCTGTGGACTGAGAAAAAGACCCAGATGTTTATGACACTTTACATCAAACAATAACGCACCATTAATTATTAAAGGATAATGAGAAGTGTCAATAACAGTTCTACTAAATGTCATAGGTTCACATTTTTTGATGCTTACTTCTATTTGCCAGAATGTAGGCCACTCAAATACTTTTTGCAAATTAGCATTTAAAGTTGAAGTAATATACTGTATAAAAGTACTTGAGGCATGCAATAAAACATCATCAGCAAACAATCGTGTAATCGATTTTAAATCTAATACGATATCGTCAATGCAAATTAAAAACAAGAGTAGCCCAATGATACTTTCCTGGGGCACCCCACGATTTATTCTTTTCCTACTTGATACCTTTCCGTTTAGCTTAGTCTCTATGACACTCGATCTGACAAGTATGAACGAAACTAGTTCAACGTATTATTAGAAACACCTTTTTGTTTCAATTTACACAGCAATCCCACGTGCCACACACTATCGAATGCTTTTTTAAAATCTAGAAATATCGCTCTTGTCAGTTTATTTTCTTCAAATCCCAACGCAACTTCGTGAACGAAATCGATTAATTGATTAATCGTGGAATCACGATGACGAAAGCCAGATTGTTGACACGTTAATAAATTATTCTTCGTTAAGTAGTTGTACAGCTGAGTATCGACAACACGCTCTAATGGTTTTGAGAGAATATGAAGTAATGTTACTGGCAGTGCGGAGTCATGACTTATATCCCGAACGGGATATTTATCCCGATCGGGCTATACGATTATCCCGATTGGGCTACAAATCCTGATCGGGATATAATCAAGATTCGAATCGGGATATATATCCCGT